ACTTCAAACTTCATTTGCAAGTGAAGACAGGAAAGAAATCAATAATTCATTATCAAAAGAAACAACCAAATACGATTTGGTCAAATCCCAAGCTCAACAATTTATCATGCCATTGTACACTAGTGACTTTGGTAGGGTGCATATGAGAATGACTATGGATTTTAATAAAATACCTCCTTTTATTTATTTTACAGTTTCATAGATTAACTAATTAAACATTATGACCTTAGAGATATAACAGAAAAGTAGAGTTGTCCATGACATGAAATATTCAACCACCAACGATGTTCTAATACAGATTAGCACAATTGGTAGCATCCTGTAACACATAACAGAGTTATTATACTATAGATGGTAAATAACTAAAGACACTACAGAACTCCACTCCGCAAAGAAGGAATGCCAAATTGAACTTTGATCAGTTATAAGGAATCTTGACAAGCTCTTGAACTATAGCAAAATAGCAAAGGAAATTCCAAGGTTTAAGTAGGGCTGGTTAGGCTAGTGACTTTCAGAAAAGCAAAATAGCTGATGAAAATGTCATAATTATTTGCTGCCTGCTGCAAAATTTGCTGTGAGTTAACAACTTAACACTAACTGGTTTGGACACTCCAAACCCATGCAACATGTGGCAGATATAAAACACTGTATGGCAGCTTAGAAATAGAACACTGCAAACATCTTCAACACTTTTTGTATGGTATGTACAATAATAGCAGAGAAATTCATGATCATTTTTGAACTAGAAGATTGAGGCAATTAACTGTAGATTTACGATAATTATATAGATGTAAGTGATTTGGCAATTTGGATATTGTACTTTACTACTGATAGTTTGACTGTCACATCGCCTTTCTCTTGTTCTCAAATACTAGCTAAATACCCCTGTGTTGCAATAGGATTTACAATAAAGCCCAAAAGGCAAAATAAAAGTATTCCCACTCTAATCATCATATCATACTTGGTACAATTTTGTACATGTATGTGAGCTACACAGTTGCTCGTAGCGAGGAACAATTGATATAAATTATCCATATTGTATTTGATTCATATAGTGAACATTGGCCACTACCAATATTCAAAGTAGTATATAGATATGCACTAAGATTAGAGTGATCAGTTCCCCATAAAATGGGAAACCTTAATATTTTCTCACCAAAATAGTGTCATATCATCCTCGAACTCAAGTTGAAAGACTGGGTGACATTGGTAGTGGTTCATTAGCAATTTTGGAAGATACTTTGTGAAATCAAAACATAGGACGATAAAATACATAAATATTTTTATGTGAGACATCAGGGGAGCAGGAGAGGTTTGGATCATGAGGAGCACTCACCGATGCAAAATCTCCAAGATTCATACAAGTATAATGGCTATCAAAGTTGGATCCACTTTTACCAGAACCTTGGGCATCCTCTGCTGAACTTGAATCCAACCTTGGTGACCTATCGTCCTCAGGCTCTTCTCTGTGTGTTGACAGAGTAGATCGAGGAATAAACAAGGAACCTTTGTTGCTGTCATCTTGAGAAACCACTCTCCATTCTTTAACTTTGCCAACCCGGTTCATGAAGCGTCTGCTCTCCCTAGACATAAGTGGTGGCGGAAGCCTTGGGTTCAAATTGACCTTGGAGCCATAATAGTCACAGTATGCCGGATCAGCACGTAGCTGCTCCTCAGATTTGGAACTGTCCGCTACGTTTCCCAGCTTCCCCCCTAAAGTGGCTTCCAAGTTCCCACTCTGCTGACCTATCATATGACCAAGAGCAGCAAGAGACCCTTCCATGCTAGGCGGCGCACTTCCACTGCGATTTGGGACAGACTCCCTCCAGCCCCCATAAACGCCACTGTTATTGTCCACAAACCCCAGACCTTCTCCTGAAAGACTACCCAGTGATGAGTCAAATGCACCGAAGTCCTTGCTCCAGTTACCAGACCCCGTTCCTCCAATTAACCGGACAGCGCTCTCTGTAGCCATCACACTGCAAAGAGAAACTGAATATTCAGTGTTCATCCATCGAATACATTTGCAATTTCCATTCCCCACTTTGCTACTTTCCAAGTCTGGCTATTCAGAATTTACTAGGTTCGATAATGCATTAGGTAACAATATTAGATTGGTGCAAGCAAACAAGTTCCCAATTATACTTCTTGAATAGGGTAAAGAAACAACTGTGGATAAATAAAAACATTAAGCTACACAACCTCAGGACCTCCCAAAAGGATACAAATGAGGCAGTAAGGAAAACTTGTGATTTGGTGGAACTGGCTAATCGTAAAAATGAAGATTTTTAGTAGCACAATAAAAGGTTATACATAATACTAATAGGCTACATGTTGCAGTCCACCAGCCACAGGCGAACGTAACGTGTGGAATGAGGGGGTTAAGCTGAACCCCTAGCCAACCCAAAAAAAAAAAAGAAAGGAAGAAAAAAAAAAGGAAACTTGCACCGAAGTCGTTGCTCCTCAGAAAGGGGATTGGGACGAAACCGGATGGGGTAAACGGAGCAGTAATAAAAATCAATCCAAGAAGGAATTTTTATCCATTATATCTCCAATCTACACCGCGCCGGCTCACGAGGTGGCGCGGAGGAGAAGGGCTAGGGCTTGGAGAGAGGAACAAATACCTTCAGCCCGATTCCACCCGGCCGCCTCCTGGCTATCTCCTCCGAACCTGCTCGCCGGCCGACGAGGCCACACCCCACCCCACCCCAGGAGGAGCAGCAGCCTAGAGCCAGACCGTGGATGTTCGCCGCCGCCGGAGGGGGAGCTCGGAGCAGCAGGGTGAGGCCCGTGGTCTCCGGCGGAGGAGGAGGAGGAGAGAGAGAGAGAGAGAAAGAGAGAGAGAGAGAGAGAGAGAGGCAAGGGTTTGGAGAAGCAAAAGCGAAAGAGGAGGAAAAGAGAAGAGGAGAAGAGCAGAGGCGAGGGGTGGCGGCGCCGCTCGAGTCGAGTCGACTTGAGACTTGAGACTTGAGAGGTGAGCTGCGGTGGTGTGGTGGCGTGCAGTGCGAGTGCTACGCTCTCTGCTAGGCTAATCTTCTGGGGTTTTACTGGAGTAATAGCTCGGAAGTATATTCTCTCTTTTTTTTTAGTTTATTTAAATTGAAATGAGTAAATAAATTATATCTAATAAAGTTGTACTTATCTATCGTAATCCCTCCGACGTAAGGTAGAGGAGCTGCGTCCGAGGGGAGAGGGGTGGTGGCGTCGCTTGAGTCAAGTCGAGTTGAGCGAAGCCCTCGCTACAGCTGGTGCTGGTGTCGTGTACTGGGGTTTCACACCTTTTATTTGTAGTTCATAAGTACATTCTTATTTTTTTTCTTTATTTACATCAAAATATGTAAATAAATAGGTATAATTAAGTTGTACTTATCTGTTTTTTCAAGAATATCAAATGATAAAACTTTAACTATATTTATAAACAGTTGGTTCTAATAATTTCGTTTGGCTAACTGGTTTTCTTTTTTAATTTATGTTACAAATAATAATATCATTATGGGCTGCAATATATAACAATTGGGGGAATCATGAAGGTTGGATAACATGCTTTATCTAACTATAATTATATTGGTCAGGTCAATTTTAAAAAACAGTTGCTTTTTAACCAAGGTAAAACTGAGAGCCACCGCCTAACGATATGGACGGTTGCCCCAATCTCATCGGCGAATAGTAATAATTTTTTGGTGTTATTGTAGGAATTGGAAATTGATTTTTTTCAAACAAATAAAGTTATACTCGATATAGAGATATTTGTTCGTGTTCTTAAAAAAAATAGGTAGTTGTTCTCATTTTCTTTGTGTAGTTTCCGTGGTTCTGTTAGTAAATCGTCTCTCCTAAGCGATGATGTTATTTAAACTGTGTTGACCTTGTCTTGTGTTGCTGTAGTTAGACGTATACGTTTTGGAAGATACGTGAAGGGAAGGTACTCTACTCCTTTTGCATGGAAACTGCTTGACTCGTTCTCAAACTGTACTGTAGACAATCTTACGATGTTTCCACTTAAATGTTATGAAATGCATTCGGCAGTTTCTTCATTACCACATGTTGTCATATTTGAGTACGTAAATACTCGCTCCGTTTCAAAATATTTAACGCCGTTGACTTTTTAGCACATGTTTGACCGTTCGTCTTATTAAAAAAATTAAGTAATTATTAATTCTTTTCCTATCATTTTGATTCATTGTTAAATATATTTTTATGTAGGCATATAATTTTACATATTTCACAAAAGTTTTTGAATAAGACGAACGGTTAAACATGTGCTAAAAAGTCAATGGTGTCAAATATTTTGAAACGGAGGGAGTAATTCACGCCTTCCAATCAATTTAAGTTATATACGAGGAGTACTGAAGCAAGTCTAATTATAAAACGGTGCAAATTAATCAACAAAGCCAACGAAGCCACCGGTTATGCTGAATAAATCAATACATCATCCATATAGCACCGTGTATTGTGATGGCACTACTAATGACATTATTTGAGATAGTTAAAATTGATGAGTACTTTTTCCGTTTCACAATATAAGAGTTTCTAGCATTGCTCATATTCATCTAGATGTTAATGAATCTAGATATATGTATGTGTTTAGATTCATTAACATCTAAATATATATAGGTAATGTTAGAAAGTCTTGCATTATGAAACAGAGAGAATAATCAGCTTTTTTTTATGATACAATAGCTATTTAAGGGTATAGCAAATGAATTAATTAGTTAAAAAAGTTATTCTAAGATTTTTTTTTTTAAAAAAACACACCGTTCAAAATATCGGAAAACATGCAAACCAACATCCCAAATCTGAAATCAGAAAAAGAAATAAAAAGAGCCTAGGTACATGTGATTTATGATGTAGCATACTTTGTCCATCTAAAAAAACTCAATTTAAACGAGAATGTGATATCTCCCACGTCTAGATTTTTATAATAGGAGGAATCAACAGCCTCTTCTTGGTTGAGTTTATTTTTTATTTTTAGGGGGGAGTAGGTCTTTTGGCAAGAGGTGAAGGAAACAATTAGTAGTGCAGTAGCTTGCTGGATTAAATCAACTAATTGATACTGCTACAGTTTCTGCCAGATAGCTCATGAGTAATTTACATTTCATTCAACCTAAAACAGACCAGCACCTAACAAAATCAACTAAAACAGTACTCACTCCCCTCTTCAAGGAAAAACATTAACCAGTACACCCTTTTTACCTGTTAACCTCATACTTACTTACAAAACAATATCAGAAGTTTCCTCTCACTGACAGAAGAATCACACCCAAGAACATAATCACCATGGTAATTAAACCCTCTAACTAATACTTCTCCTCAAGTCAATAATCACCAGCTACAGTAAATCAGCGATGCAAATCATTCTTCATTACAGGACTAAGACTAGGCAATTTTTTAGGCAACTGCAGAATCCAACTCAAGTTTAGGCAAATTTTTTTTGAGCCATTCTATGACACCTGGGGCCCACATGTCGGTTCCTCTTTCCGGCGTCCCGGCGCGCCGGCGGCCACCGCCGACACCAGCGCGTCGTAGCCGTCCGCCGACGCGTCGGCGAACTCGGCCATGGCGCCGGTCACCGCGGCCATGCCGGCGCAGAGCACGCGCCCGGCCATGCCCTCCATGCCAGTGGCCACGCCCGAGCACACCGACCCGACGCCGGCGACGAAGAAGTCCAGCCCGTCCATCACCCGCGCCTCCGACGCCGCGTCGACCGCGTGCCCCCACTCCATGCACACCGCGAACGCCAGCGGCAGCGCGGCGGCGGCGGTGCCGCCGGCGCCGGCGCCGCCGATGCCGAGGCAGCGGCGCGCCCACGCGGCGAGGGCGCGCGCGTAGGCGCGCTGCGCCGACAGCCACGTCTCGAGTGCGCCGCGCCACGCCCGGATCTCGCACTCGAGCGCCACGGCGGCCGGGGGCGGCGTCGCGGCGTCCGGGGCGCTCAGGGCGATGGCGGTGGCGGTGGCAGCGGCGGCCGTGGGGTGGCGCTGGAGGAAGAGGAGCTTGGCGTCGTCGATGGTGCGCTTCTGAGCCTTGTGGCGTTCGGCCATGGTGCGCCACATCCGTGACAACCTGCGTAATGCCAAGACATGTCCAATGTTCAAGATCACAGTGATGCAACAAGGGGGGAAAATATCTTCTTTTCATTTTGTTATAAGTCGCTGCATTTGCCATTTCTGAGAGTTGAATTGATCAAATTCAAACTTTTGATGGATCCTACACAATCTGGTTAAGCTAAAACAATGAAAAGAGCAGGGCTATAATTCCTGCTCACAGTGATGATGGTAAAAGATGGCTTTTGTACCCGTCTAAGACAGTATGATTAAGAATGTCAGCCTTTTTTGCTGCATCTGTTTATGTTTCTGTTTAATTATGTTTGTACGATTTAATAGCATGCTGATGGGAAAAAAAAAGTAACTCTTTCGAATTCAACTTGTGTTGTGTTACATAACTGAAGAATTTGTTGTGTTACATAACTGAAGAATTTGTTGCAAACATGTTCTTGTTGAGTTTATCTGTATGCAGTCCCCCCCCCCCCTCTCTCTTGTAAATAGTAGATTGCTTTACATTCATTTACAGGAACAGAACACCTCCAGTTGTGCATACCTACTTCTGCATGCCTATTTCATCACAATGATCACATTACCTACGCATCCTATATCTGAGATCCTAATAGCTGAAACAATTGTAACTGGTTATTTACTCTGTTGATCAAATTATGGATCCCATTTCAATAGTTAATATATGCGCATTATTGTGTTTCTACTCTCACTATGCAGGACACCAAAACTGAACAATAAACTACAGAAACGTACCCTCGGATCAACTCCATAAGCTGAGGTTGCATCTCCTCGTCTCTTAGAACTTCAATCCTCGCTGATATTGACTGAACTGTGTGTATTGACACCTTCATCCGAGTATGTAAACTTCTCAATGCTGCACGGGTCTTATCGACGGAGGAAGGCTCGTCGCCTTTCACATCCTGGTTCCTCAAATGGTTCAGCCTTTTCTCATAGTCAATTCTTAATCGTTCGCCTGCCTACAAGTGACAAAAACAAAGCATGATTCCCACTACTCACTTCTATTGATCTTCTGGTATTAGTTCCTGGTGGAGATTGTACCTTTACTTCTTTGTATAATTTCTTCTCCCATGTATACAGTCTATCTAGAGTGGAGTGATGACTTCCAGACATTGTACTGCAGGATTCTTCAGAGTAACAGCTGTTTGTCTCATTGTCATAGAGGTCCTCTATTGAGCTTGTGGGAGCAAGAAGGAAGCGGGAAGACGATGACCGGGATGATGCAGACCGCAATAATGCGACTGGGTTTAGCATCTTTGCTGCATTATTAAATTCATTAGTAAGTCGAGTGAGTTAGATCTGAAATAGTTTTAAGTAATTCCAGTATTGGTTTGTAAAATTAGTACCAGAAAGATCGTTTGAGGTTGAGTATTGAGCTCTACTTGCCTCCAACATCACTGAGATTTCCTTTGCAGCATCGCAGATCCCCAAGAACTGACTGTCAATATCCTTCATGGCTTCAGCCAGACTTGCTGGTCTGCGGTTCAGATACACTGTGAAACCAGGTGTTTCTTCTGCATTTGCTACTTTGTTCCTCATCAGTTCTTTCTTATGCGCCTTGATCTCAAGTTCTACTTTGTTACGCGGTTCACACTGAACTCCTTTGGATTCAAAGCCCTTTGTTTCCTGCTTGCCATTGACCTCAGTCTTCACAGGGCAAGCACCCCCATTAGAAGGCATACATCTCTCATCTGAATGATCACATTCATCGTCGCCATCATCGTCATCGTCATCGTCATCATCGTCGTCATCATCAGAATCATCATTGTCATCGTCATCCACTTGTTCCTCTTTCTGGTGCACCTGTTCATGTTGTTGACACTCATCATCTTCTTCTTCAAGTTCCGGGATTCCTTCCTCCTCTCTTACACGCTGTAATCGTGCCAATTCATCGTCGGTGACCACATTGTCATAGCTACTCCGAGGTCGCGGATACGCAAAGCTGTCCAGCGATGAGAATGGGTTCCAGAAGAAGTCCCACTGTGATGATTCCTGCTCCTGAGGCGACGGAGGTGGGTAGCTTGGCCTATCATACGACGCGTAATAAGAAGTCCTTGTTGGCTCCTGGGGTGATGCAGCTGGATAGCTTGGCCTGTCATAGGACATGTAATAAGAGTTCCTCACTGGCTCCTGGGGTGATGGAGGTGGATAATTTGGCCTGTCATAAGGTGGTGTGTAGTAAGAAGATGGCCTCATTGGCGAGGATTGCGCTGCGAAGAACCTGTCCATGCCACCAAAGTTATCTGTGGGGTAATGTGACTCAATACGGATTGTTTCCACGGGTCTCGGTTGCTCTTCAACTGATACCGATGGGTTTGGTCCTGACCTCAGGTACTTTGAGACATGAATTGTCCTCTTCTCATATGAACCATAAGGGAGGCCAAGCAGCTCTGGCTTCTGTTGCTTCAAGGGAGAAATGAAGGGGTCAAATATGAGCTCATGGTGATCATCCCCAGCAACGAACCACTGGAGCGCCATCGAGACGCGCCTCAAGGACTCAATGTAGGCAAAGTGAGACGACGCGAAGCGGTTCCGCTGCTCCAGCGCCTGCTTGATGAAGTCCCTCCTGTCCCGGCACATCTTGACAGCCTCCTCATCTTCTAACCTGGAAGCAGCACATCCCATGTCTCCAAAGCCTTTGTGTAGTTTCAACTTTCAAGAACCCGTCATGCTTGGATCAGAACTTCTGAGTTCAACATGTGGAAAAACATTGGAGAAGGAAAATGTAACAGGTCAGTTCTGACTTGAAGAAACCAGGTATTTGAGTCATGTAACATTGCAGAAATTACCTAATACTGTACAAGAATCGACATTTGGTGATGAGCACATTCCAAGCAAGAAGATGACCTGAATCAACCCTGCTGTCTGACAAGTTTCCCAAAGTTCAGAAGCTGCAGAAACAATGCAGAATGATTATATGCAATCAAATCATGCAGCAAAAGGGAGCTTAGGCATAAGCTAATGAAGTGCAACAGCAGTCATGAATGTTGAAACTGGTTGAATACAACCACAAAAACTGGCCACTCAGAAGCCACAGGCAACAACTGCAAGCTACTGAAAACCAAACAGAGCATGAGATGCATCTATTTATCTGGAAACCTGAAATATCTTTACAAAGAAAGGGGAGTGAAAGCTACAAGGCTACAGAAAGATGCTCCTTTGCAGGTGAAATACCCCACTGCAAATACGCTACACTACACATTTGTTCGGTAGCACCAGCATTCTTTTTCTCCCAAAAGAGGGCTGAGAAGGCAAGAGAGTGAGGAATATTAATCCTTGGCCCTACTACCTTCAACTTGCAGTAAGTGAACGGACTTGACAACTAAACTAAATTCAGTTCAGTACACAGTATGGAGTGTGAGTGTGTGAGGCTAGTGCTATGAACACACACCAGGGGTTGTACTGCATTGGACTTCCAAAGTCACACTTTTTTTCAGGGTAAAACAGTACAGACAGAATCATCTTTACTGTCTTCAAGTTACAGAAGAAACGAATGATTTAGTTCTGAAGATTTAACAGTAAAATAAGTGCAGGATTCTAAATTTCAGAACAGATGGACCATGCTAGACACTCTTCTGCTGTATAAGCAAGGAATCAGGCAGAAGTAAAAAATAATAATCTTGTGATGTAAAAACTACAGGCCAAAGACAAAGCTCAGGTGATGATTATGGGTAATAATAAGTAACAGCTCTTGTCTCATAGTGCCCCCAAAAGAAAAAAACAAGTCTTGGACTTAGCTCCAAGCCTCCAATTTAATGTCAAATTATCTTGCTACAACGGACAAATCAAATGGTAGACAAACGCGACCCGTGAGCTTACAGACGAATTCTCACTCTAAAATATTCAGAATCGTGGTTCTCCTTGCAGAAAAAAATTTAAAAAAACATTCAGAATCCCTGATGAAACAGATGACCAAAATCTTGGAGCAAATATATGAACAGGCAATGTACTGAATAAAACCAATTCTACAATCTCCTGAGAAACCAGAGTACAATCCTAACTTAAACAAGAGTGAGGAAAAAAGATGAAATCTTGTGGGGAAGAACAGGACACACAACAAGAGCAAGCCATCAAGAACCAAGAAAACATGGCAATCTCTGCTCAATTCCCAATCTTGCAACACCAGAGAAAAAGGCAAAGCCAAGCATAAAGATCAGGTGGACATGGGCAGCACAGGAGCACATCATTCTGAAGTGTGGAGGAAGCAAAGGCAGAGACAGACGAGTCCATGTAGAGGAGGAGAAGGGAAGGAAGGCCATGGGAACCAGGGACAAAGAGGCATACATACATGTTCTTGAAGCACTCAAAAGGGAGCACACAAAATTCGCTAAAGATCAAGAACAGCTTCGCAAGAAGAAACCACACACCCTCATCTTTCTCACTCTCTCTCCACTTTGGCCCCACAAAACCTCTCATCCAACCACATCAATTGCGAGCATTAAACAACACAAAGAGAAAGGTGAAAACAAAAGCAAAGCAGGAGGAATGCAAATGCAAACCTATAAGCTCACATATTAAAATAAGATGAGAGGTTCAGATAAGCTTATACCTGACGAGAGAAGTTCAGGCCTCCCTCCTCTACTCTACTCTATCCCTTTCTCCTCCTTTGGTATGCGTGTGTACAAGTCTACAAGAACAAGAAATGGAAGAAGTCTTTGTGCAGAGAGAGAGAGAGAGAGAGAGAGAAAGAGAGAGAGTGTGAGTGGTGGTGGCAGAGAAAGAGAGAGATGCAATGCAACAACGGTCAAAAGACTTGAAAGAAGGAGAGAAATCACTGGGAAGGAAGAGAGAGAAAAGTGGAGCAGCAGCAGCAGCAGCAGCCAGCAGATAGTAACTGAGTTGAGCTATGACCCTACACTTGTAGTTATTTCACAATAATACCCCACTCATTTACTTCCCTTGCCATTTTACACAAATTGCTCTCTGAACATTTTGTTCAATGTTCAGTAAATTTCAGGCAATTTATGACATTTTATGTCTCTACCGAGATGAATGGAATTTGTGATTTGTGGGAGAAATTTCACATTGGAATTCAGAGATATTTTATATTGGGAGTAGGAAAAGGATCAGAGGGGCTTTCTTGAGAAATACTACCAGTCTACCACCACTAGGAAGGATGACTGCAAGACATTCATGCCCTTTGGAGTTATCAGTTGAATAATTTATGGCATTCACCAATACGACAACACTTACGTTAGAGAAAAGAAACTGAAGTTATGACCGTGACAACAGATTTTGGACGTACAGCTCAGACTTCAGAGAAAGCTACAATAAATAATTTAAAATTTGTTTTTTCTACATGCTTTAATAGCAGCACGTTGAATGAAAAATCATTACTTAGAACGTACTATTCAATAATACACTATTAATACCATTTTATCAACTTGATAAATGAATGAATTATGCACAACATGAAGGTCTGCATTTTTGTCAGTTCACAAAAGAGGAGAAAGACGTCTTTTTTTCCTCTCTTTTTTACTCTGAAACTTTTGAACAAACTTCCGGTTAGTCAGTTGAGTTCAGGCTTCATGCATGCCGCTCTTGACGCATCACACTTATCTCATTTCCTGGACAAATCGGTTGCATCAAGATACACTTTTAAACAAACCAAAACCTTTTCTTTTTTTCTACACGCCAAAAGAAAAAAAAATCTGATCAGAGTAATCTTTAGCAAAGAAAGAACAATGGGAATTCAGATCTATCTATGATATCTACTAGTATCAATCAATCAATCCTGTGTGTGTGGATTGCCACTGCATGCGGCACCTGGCTACCATGCACAAGGTGTGGGCTACCACACAAGGCAAGTTTGTGCAAAAATGCGAGCTCATCGATCCCCAGAAAAGGCCCAGAGAGAATAGATGCTCTCATCTTTCTTTCTTTTAAGGTGTTGATCAATTCTGATGAAAGTTCCTCAGATGCCTGCACTAGTAGGTAGTGGTTGGGGTTTTCGGTCGAGTCACTCTACCGAATCCATGTATTCTATCAAGGACTAGATTATTTGTTGATTTTATCTTGCTTTTATGTGTTTTCTAAGACCAAAAACAGTACGAAATTCTTAAGGAGATGCCGAGTGTTCGGCTTTTCAAATTTTAAATTCTATATAACATATGTAAAAGCACAAAAAAAAGAGAGAAGCCTTATTCAAGAGAACACGTCATTGCGGTGGTGCGTTCAGATGTAATGATATAGATTTTAGTATATTACAACAGCTACCACTGCACAGAAAAAAAATACCATTATACTAGTCATCAATAAACATTATTTTCAAATACTACAAAGCTAGATTCATACATGCTTTCCGCTTCAAAAGTCCTTACAACAGAGTCAACTCGGCACAACTATTGCATAGGATGGTAGTCTACTAGGATATGTCCTAGCAAAAATCCTGGATTATCACGGATACATTTCCTGAACTTCTAAAAGTTTGCAAAAAAAAAAAACTTTGTACATCAGCAATTTTAAGAAAACCTTTTAAAATCACCATTTGAACATTCTAATATTTAATTCTTTCATTTGAGACCTCGAATAATCGACATAAGCTCATCATCCATTAGAATGTTAGAACACACCCCCATGAAATTATCCAAATAGAACCATATATCACCGGTGTGCTGCATATTAGGTGCTCAGTAGATATGTTCATAGGCCATAGCACTTGTACAAAATGAAAGATTATGTTGACCAAATGACCATGAAGAGGAAGGCATGCACTGCAAAAGCAATTTGAAAAAAGGGTCTCTTGTATTGGATGGATATGAGCATGCATGGGAATTTTCAAAAAGATAAAGCACAGTTTGTTAGTCTGCCTCCCCCCTCTATCAGAGATGAAAAAAAGCAAAAGAGATGAAAAGATTCTTCCACATGTCCATGCCCCAGAATTTTTTTAGAGGTCCTTTTCTCACACCTTTATCTTGGCTTAGCTGCCTAGGCTTGGTGCTGTTTTTTATCAGTACAGCCCTTACACTATACTTCTTTACTGTGGGAACCCTTTCCACTTGGTTGAATAACATTTATTATATTTAGCTTCTCGGGCATTCCACTGTATTATCACATAAACGTGAGCGGAAAAGAAACAAAAAAAATGGTCATACTTTAAAAAATAGCATGATGAGAAAATGTAAAAATTCAGTTTGAATAATATTTACTACAATGTTTAGCTTCTCTTCCATTCCACCGTATATTTGTTTACTTAAACACCGTGGGAATGCTAGAAAGTTAGGGGTGCCACGTCAGATGTTACTTTTGTAAAAAAGCCCCCACAGTTCTATTAATTACACATTGGTCCCCACTGATATCCACCGTAAACCGTCGGATCTCGATCTAGTTATCACAAAGGCATGAGAAGAAGAAAAAAATACAAAAAGTGGTGATACTTTATAAATTCTGAATCTGTTTTGTACTCAAAACTGTTTTGTACGTAATTCTGAAACTGAAGATTAGCAGTGGTTAGGAGGAGTAATGCACATAAATTCAGATGTTAAAACAAGACAAATAAGGTCTTTCCATAGGATAAGTATTAGTCAAGTTGGAAGTTTTTATAATCCTTGTGCCCATCTCCTGCTAGGAAGAGAACAAAGTGAGGAAGACTAGTTGCTCATAGGATGCCACTCTAATCTAGATCCTATGGTTGCAGGCTTGCAGCCTTGCAAGTTACTAGTACTTAGCATTTGACATTATCAAAACAAGACAAATGAAACAAGCACAACAAGGCCCTGTTTTTTCAATGTCTCACCAGCCAGGGGTTCAGAAGAAGACATGATTGGCAAACATGGCCATTTTGTCTTCGTTTACTGATGCCTCAGCTCCCAGATCCACAGTACAGGACTAACCTTAACCAAATGCTCTACTCTTAGGACACACCAAGAATCTTAACTTGCTCTTTTCATCAATACAATGTGGGCCACCACAATGAAAAAAAAGTAGAAAAAAGGACAGAAATTATATAGAGAGCAACTACACTGAACACAGTCCAATGAGACACATGCATACTGTAGTAGCTTCAGTCTGGTCAATTTCCCATCCATTGGACTCACTTTTTTTACTGCACTTTTTCCTGATGAAAACACAAAACTGCAAAATACTGCTACAGTGTTATACATGTACGTTTACTCTCTAGATCAAAACTGATGACTTAATTGAACTGCGAATGCCTGCAATAAAAGCTGACATGAAAATTTTCTTTAGAGAACCAGAGCTTGCATCCTGCATGGGTTTATAATAGTGTGCTTTTTTGTCTGCAACTTGGAAGAGTAGACTGTAGAAAACCAGCATTGGATCTGTTCATGTTGATGTTATTTTCTACCTTCTGCTGCATTGTACTACTACTGTATAGGATAACTGAAGATTGGGTTGTGTGCACACACAGCTCACTCACTGTCAGAAGGTCCAATGCTTCTGGCAATGCAGTTCATGGCTGCAAGAATCAAGATCCCAATGCAGTTTCTCTGTACTCTCTTGAGCCCAATTTTGGTTGCCTGTTGATCTATTCCAAGCAGACTACAAACCTACCAAAACCACCATCTTAAAACCAGAATTACCTCACTTGGCTGAAGAACAGTAGAGCAAGCAAGAAAGAGTTCTTGAAGAAATACCTCACTTGGCCTCTACCTCTTTCAGTCTGCATTGAAGAAAAATGGTTAGTGGTTGCCTTCCATCACATGACCTGCTGCCACAAGAGTTAACTTCTCTGCATCTTATTGGCACTCCTGCATATACACAAGAGGAGTACATTTCAAGGGACTCTTTGCAGCAAAGAGATGACACACATCTCACTCCACACATCTGACTGCACATGCTTTGCAGGGCAATGACAGGTGCAGAGGTAATCTCATTCTGCATTACAACAAGAAACTCCCATCAAGGTTGTTGCAGCCATATGCCCGGTTCTTTTCGTCTTACAAAAGGTGTGTTTAGTTCACGCCAAAATTGGAAGTTTGGTTGAAATTGGAACGATGCGACGGAAAAGTTTGAAGTTTATGTGTGTAGGAAAGTTTTGATGTGATGGAAAAGTTGAAAGTTTGAAGAAAAACTTTGGATCTAAACATGGTGAAATTATAGATTATCACGGGCATGCACGCTTCCAAAGCTTATAAAGGGTGTGATGTTTTCAGAATCTTTTCGTATATAATTTGCTTAAAATATATTTTAAAATGAATTTTCAGCTTTTTAGTTAGTTGATTTATCCGTTTGTACCCTTTAATATCATCACAAATGAGATGATCTATTATCTATTATCTATTCAGAACAATCAAACTGGGTAATACCAAGGCTGTGTTTAGATCCAAAGTTTGGATCCAAACTTCAGTCCTTTTCCATCACATCAACCTGTCATACACACACAACTTTTCAGTCACATCATCTTCAATTTTAACCAAAATCCAAACTTTGCGCTGAACTAAACACAGCCCAAGATGTGAGAAAAGTCTCCTCATCAAAGTTTCCAAATAGGCAGGGATGTAGCAGCAGTGTGATAGTGCCAATGTGGCCCATTGGCATTTCATTTGTCCTCCATGGCTGGAAGAGAGAGAGAGAGAGAGAGAGAGAGATTTGCAACAGTGCAAGTTTTATGGCACATAAATTGCAGGGCACAGTGAATGGCCAGTTTGCCTTGCATTGCTTACAAACAAGCTCACAACCACAACACATTGATGACCCCCACCATTGATGGCTGTGGCAGCAGGAATTTAGTGGCAGCAGCCATTTGCTGTGCTCATGGACTTGGCCTGATGCTGCATGCTGCTGATGCAGAACATTCGGACTCTTCACTTGCAAATGGGGCTCACCAGTCTAGATTATTCAACTGAGTAACTGACTTTCTGGGGTCCACACGGCAATGCAGTGTTGGTCCATAAGTTCATAGATCCATTTGTGGAGATCAGTAGTGCAGGCAGGGTTTACCTTATCGTTTTCAAAGAAAAAACCAATCTCTATCAGTTTGTCAAAAATTGAGTAAAAACTTACAACTTTTATAAGGAAACCAATTAAAAAAACTTTTATAAGGAAACCAATTAAAAAATCGCTCGGACTTCACAAACCGATTCTCTTTCATGACAATCGAGCAGATCGTTAAGGTAATGGTCATAACTCATAAGTGATGCAATTTGTAGGCTTCGAAAATGTTAATTTTTAGCTTATCAGAATTTCAGTAAAACATTTGGAAAGATTTATGCATGGCAAGAGGCACAGGCCTTTTCACACACGCCGTGTACGGAAAGGAAGACATGTCACTTGTTCTAAAGTTGCATCATGGTGCACTATGATTTTTTCTGCAGAGTTACATGCGTGCTTGCACGAGCAGCAGGTTTATCCTTGCAGAAGCCAAGTGCTAAAAGATAAGGGAGAGGTACAACACCTACCTAAAAATTCAGAGAAAGCACTGCAGAAAATTGAGCAGATCTCACTTCAGTTTGCAGGTTGCAATCAAACACACTGAAGTTCCTTTGCATGTGGAGATTGAGTAGTTTAAAGCCACCTGCTTCAATCTCATTGCTCCAGTAGCTTCAGAGTTCAGACACAGCTTGCAACTATGTCCAGAAGTAGGATTTTACTCGGTGATTTCTGATTAACCATTTGTCTTGCTTCCATATGTTGCTATGCTGCATAAAAACCTCATGCTAAACACAGGCTCCAGAAATGGGGATCTAGCAGCAACTCTTCTTAGGTATCGTTTTAGTATGAGCATTTAAACCTAAAGGCATTTACATATAATAGGGTGGTATCAGCTCATACAGCAGCTAAGCTATAAAGTATTCAAAGTGTAGCAGATGCCACATTTTGCGGTGCCTCAGGCACTCGATGGGTCAACAGGGGAACAGGATTGGGGATCCATCGCGCCGCAGCTTGTTGTCGGAGAGATCCAGCTTGCTCATCTTCTCCTCACACCACAGGAGCTGCTCCTTGCTGAGCTTCGCCATCCTTAGGACCCTTGACACAACCTTGATGTCGATTAAGGCAAAAAGCAGCTGAACTTCCTCCATTGTGGCTGGCCAGGTCTTGCTCTTCCATCCTTTCTTCTTCTTGAATAGCTCCTTCACTTTCACTTCCTTCTGCAGGTTTGGAGGGATCCATTAGAAACAAAGAGTCGTATAAAGACAAACTGTAGATATACACGGATCTGAGACTGAAAGAGCGTGTGAACAATCGAATCAGCTAATTGGGCTCACGTTGCTAAGAATAGATGCTGCATTAGTAATATGGCATTTATTTCTCGACGTGCCACGTTTGGTAACATATGCTGTAAAGAAATCTTGAAGGCATGCAGACTCAACCACCATGTGCAAGTACAAATACCATATCCATGCAAATAACTTTCAGAGCTTTTGTTTCATATGAGACGAACATCAGATCTATTTGAGGAAAAAGTGATTATACTACTAGCACATTTCAGAAAGAGATCATATGAAAACCAAGCCAATAAAAGTTAGCAACAATGAATATAAAACTACCCCGTTTCATCAAATATAAAACTACCCCGTGAGACACTGAATAACCAGCACCCAGCAGATATGAACTAAAGAAACCTACCAAGGAGCTCGAGGTTTTGTTAGTCAATCAGCCACATATAAGAATAAGATATTACCTTATCAAGAGAGGATTGAACTTGTTGAATCGAGCTTCCAGTATGACTATGAACACTCATGAGGGCACTATTCTTTTTCTTGTCCTTTTTCAGGAAAAGACGGAAAGTCATGATAGACTCCTCTAATAATTTGATGAGGTCAGATGCAAAAATTGAAGGTTCCACTTGATCTTCAGCATTATATTTCCCATCTGCAACTGTATAGAGAATACAAAAATGAAAAGAAATATATTAATTAAAAACAAGAATGGCATTAATTAACAGAGTCGTGTAAAAATTGTGTTTAAAGAACCCAGTTCTCAAATGAATGCAAAAACATAAAAAAAAAATCCTGTAACAAAAGCAAAAGTGAAGCCATGGCCCCACAGAAGAGACAACAGTGTTTATTGCATTCAGAACTTACTGCCTTGCTGGTAGACCAAAGTAAAATCTGATGCAAGGAAATCTTTTGGGGAGTTCAGGGATTTTTTTGTACTAAGCATCACATTAAACAAGATTTGGTTCAACCAACCGATTAGCTTGCATCTAGGTAATACAATTTATACCTGTACCAAGTCCTGCTGTGAGTCTAGACTGATAGAAATCTTTCAAAATCCTATGGAATAAATGAGGAAGTTTATGGGCATGGCATTCTGACACATCTTAAATTTGCAAAGAATGCTCTTAAAGCTTGTGTACACCATTTCAGTCACAGGTTGAGCACATGTTGCAGAAATCAACAGTACGAAACATGTGGCTCTTAATTCTTGGATACATATAGTGTTCAGGTGTTGCCATATTCACATAATTACTCAATGATGTTATAAATCTGACTGCTGTTAATATCTTTCTTGGTCGCAGACGAAATGTGAAACAGAATTGAAAGGAAAAAAGATCCAATGGTGGTGCAATACTGGCCATTAATAGTGCCATAATGTACAGCAGATCAAAATGGCTTATAGCATGTGCAATGTCTAGGCTATTCAATGCCAAAGCCAAAGATAGTCACACTTAAAAAGTTAAAATAATCTACGTCCAGGGCAGTATCTGCATGTCGTTTAATACGACAAACATGCTGATGTGGATAAACATGATGTAAGATCTATATATCTCCTATAATGGGCTAATGGCCCTTAAACATTTCCATCATAATTATATTAAGTCATTACCAATTTGATTGTACTTCTGGGAGACATTGCCATAAATCGCAAGTTGTTAATCAGTAGCTGAAAGTTTTAGATCCTAAACATAAGTGTGATTTAAAAAAGAAACTATCATCTGGCACAACAGCTAGTAACTGAGATATAGACTGTACGGACAAATGCATAGTATGTTCTAGATCCTAAACTCATCTTGAGTTAAACATCTAAGGATGAAAGCTCTCAACTGAATCTACCCCAGTCATACACTTATAACTCTCCAACATTAGTGTCAACACATTTGATTTTTAAATGCATCTTAGTACCATAGCTTATCACCAAGGACCTACCCAAGAGCAGCACCAGATTAACAGATTGTGAAAACATGTACTAAACAATGTCATTAGTTGGATAAGCAAATAGATTAAGTTGACCTGATGAAAGATGTACGAGCAACAATAAAGATCAATATATCAAGCACGTGACAACCCAATCACAAAAAAAAAGGGTATGCATTACTTTGTGTTGCACAGGAGTAACCTACAGGTAGGAGGAAGAAGATGCAAAAATTGTCAGAAATCTCCATCCTACAGCACGATATCTTCAATGTGCTTAGGTCCTAGCTGTAGTAACTGGTACTTACAGAACTGCATAGTAGGTCATTCTGGACATGTTACCAATGGTAAACCATGGTGTCTTAGGCCTTGTTTGGCAATGTCCAAATCCCAGCCCATCCCTAGAGATGGACCAGGAATTTAAACTAAGATTTGGGCCTTGCCAGATGAGGCATTAGTGTGCACAGCTGATGTATCCTTTTTTTTTTCTGAGAGTATGCCAATGTACCTACCTATAATTGCTAGAGCTTTTTACTTCATATGCCAAAACGGTACGTACATCTTGCTGGCTTTGTCACTGGGCAATCTATCAGAAGTTAAGTTCAATAAGACACAAAATTTCAACCAAACAAATGTAATGGCTTTTGTAAAAGAAACTAATGTGCACAGAAATTATTTGATTAAAAGAAACATCAGGTAATAAAATCGATGAATTACTATGCTACACAGAAACTCAACCCAATGATATAATTATTTTCTAGAAAATAAAAAAGTCAATAAGCTGCCAGGAGGATTAAGGGTGAATTGTACCGCTCACGGAAAGATATTCGATTGTCAAATGATGGGTTATGTCCGTTTAAAGATTGCAAACCTAAAAATCATACCTTGAAAAGTGGGGACCTGAAGTAACTTCGACAAGGAACTCCGAGACCGTGCATATATCTCAACCCGTGAACCTTGCTCAAATGGCTCATTCTCAACAAATCTCTGCAATAGAACCTGGAACTGCTGGAATGCTTGAGCAGCACAGCTGTAGGTGGTGGGATTATCAGGTTGAGCTGCGAGTATCAGACTCAGGTGCACATACATACAATGAAGAGCCTCCCAACTTAAAGAAACATGCCCAACATATGCTGTCTCAAGTGTTTGGTAGGGATCATCCTCGCTCTGCTGTTGCTGAAGATGTTCGCAGTCCTCCTGGAGGTCATCCCTCCTTTTGAAAGAGAGGTTGCGCAGGGTTGATGCCAATTTGGATGCTGATCTAGGCGACTTTTTTGAGATGTTGAAGGACCCTAGGAAGTTTGTTTACCAATCATTAAAAAGGATAAATTGTTGAGACTTTATAGAATAGAACGGCAAAAGAAACTGTCTGATTAGGTAAGCAAATGTGTATGCATAAGTGTAGCCTTGCTACACAAGGAAAAGACGGAACCCTCAAGTCCGACAAAAAGTTAATAGGCACTGATGTATGCATAAAGGAAACATTACTCAGGAACTGTTGGCCAGTAAAATGCTGAAATTGGTTAACAGAATAGAACTACCTACGGAAGACGACAATTTATTATCATACAAAATGATACCATCAATTAGCATAAGAATCTCCATATGAAGCATATGACACTCATATGGTAGTTATGTACTCATCACATAAGGAATGGCAAAGTATATGATATTCAACAGTCATTTAGATTTATATAATCTATCGTATCATATATGTACTAAAATTGATACCATGCACGCACGTGCAATCATATGGCCAATTAATGTCCCACAAACAAATGAACGGCAATAACAGAGGGGTTATCTAAGACCAAGTGGTTAACATGAATATACATTAGGTTTCGCATTCAACTAAGACATGCAAAATGTACAATCAACCATACGAGAACGACTCCGCGGGCTAAATATTTCACCTGGATCCTTGAGAAGCTGCGTGATCATCTTATCGAACACCGCCATCCTCTCACAATACTTCTCATAGAGCGAATCGAACCCGCATAGCGGGAACCCGTCGCCGACGTCGGACTCCATCCACTCCCTGGAACTACTCCCTTCCTCCTCCTCCTCTTCCCCATCCTCCTCCACCTCAGCACACTCCTCCTCAGGGATGAGCACCATGAAGCTGTTCTTCCTCAGCTCCTTGAGCCTACGCTTCACCTCATTGGTGATGAAATCATCATCGTCATCATCCTCCTCCTGCCCTTCCACGGCCCCATTGCCTGCATCTGCATCCATACCCGCACCGGCTGCTGCCGCCGCAGGATCATCCTCCAAGATCTTGCCCTTCTGCTCATCGGAAGCTGCATTGTTCCCAGCCTTGGTTTCCTCCTCTGATTCTACAACCTCTCCCCCGCCCCCGCCGCTCTTCCGGGCCTTCCCCAACTTCTTGATCTTGAAGAAATCCATCCGTGGAAGCGCAGAAGCTTCGAAATCCCAACAGAGAGGATCCGATCGATGCTAAAGAAGATCCCCTTCCCCTTTCCTTAATCCAAAACCTCACTCCCCTTTTTGTCTTCCCTGCAAGCACCACAAGAATCAAATCACCAAGTGAAGCAAACAACGAAAGAACAAGCCCCAAACTAATAACAAAATAAAAATAAAAATAAAAAAAAGAACTCATAAATCCGTGAAATGCAACCACGCACCAGCCTCAAGAAACCACCCACCCGAGTAACCAGCTTGAATAATGGGGATAAAAAACCTCCAAGATCCAACCGACGAATCACCAGCGGAGCCCAGCAATCGCGACCGGGGCAGCTCATCACGCGGCGGCGGTGAGCTCCATATGGCGGCGTCGGGGGGGATCGAGGCGGAGATCAATCGGGAGGGGAATGGAATGGAGAGCGTGTGCTGCGTGCTTGGGTTTAAGCGAGCGTTACAGCATGACGCTACAGTGGCAGTGGTGGTGGTGGTGATGGTTTGGGGGGTCACGAGGTTTAGGGAGTCGGTGGCGATGCTTCCGCGCCTCGCAAAACTTAGGGTGTGTTTGGTTGCAAGCCACACTTTGCCACAGTTTGCCACGTCTAAGGTTAGGCAAATTTGACAGGTGTTTAGTTGTAGCCACAGTTGTGGCAAGATTCCCCTCTAACAAATTGGATCCCACGTGTCAATGGCTCAAAAAAGTGTGGCAAGATTCTCTTAGGCTTAGTAAGTTATGGCTAACAATTTGATCACCTCACCTTAGACAAGGTGTGGCAACTTTTGTTGGCAAGTAATGGTAAAGTGTGGCTGGGAACCAAACAGCCCCTTAAACCATCTTTCTAAGCGCGGGATTAAGGGTGTGATTAGGATTAGCGGGGGATGGTAATCGCCTGGGTTACCTTAGAGCAAGTATAAGTATAATAGTAGACTGTAAGCCAACTAAACGCTGAGGTGGAGGAGAGAAGAAGTGGGCTGTAAACTTACAGTCGGCTTGAACACAAGAATAAGAAACTCTATAAGAGAAACAAATGGATCCTATATTAATGGTAAAGAGCTAACTATTACTCATTCCATCTACTTTTGATAGTCATATTTCATCTTGGCACATAGACTAAGGATAAGTAATTATACTTATCATTCATTTAAATATGCTACTAGTCATTCCTCGTAAACAAGTGATCTATTAATATTTACATTTCTCGATACACATGTAGTCAATCTTGTGTGGAATAATAGAGAGTCATGTATTAAATCTGAGTGACGGAGCGTGGGGCTCCTCACCGGGAGACCGCGCAGGCCCCCCTTTGCCGGTTCGGCCGGGGGCCCTGGGTGAGATTCTAAGCTCCTAGTCTGTGTGTGGAAGGTTCGCGAGAATGGAAACACACAAGACACGGGCGATGTATACAGGTTCGGGCCGCTGAGAAGCGTAATACCCTACTCCTGTGTTTTGGTGGATCTATGTATGAAAAAGCTACAAAAGAGCTGGAGAACCAGAGAGCTCTTACTCTCTCCCTCTCTGATCGTTCTGGATCCGAAAAAATCCCCTTCTAAGTGGGCAAGGTCCTCCTTTTATACCTCAAGGGGATACCACATGCACCATCTCTCTCTTTTTGTGGGGACTTATCCTATCTTTTCATAAACAGACGGAGACTTGTATGGTTGCCGTCCGAATGACCTTCTGATGGGACGGCCCATACCTACCTCCACTTCCGCCGGAAGCAGGCGCGACGTGGGAACATGGCTGTCTGCTGACGACATGACCAGTGTCAGACCGGTCACAAATCGGTCAATCTTGTCCACCACGCGTCAGTTTATCAATCTGCATGTTCGCCCCTTTTCATACAATGTCTTGCTTGTAATGGTTAGGATGAAGCCTGGTATATATCTGACCGGGACCAACGTGCCATCTCTAGGAGCTAACACGCCGGCTCCGGCTAGGGACGAGTGCTTGGAGGCTCTCATCCTGACGGGGCGAGGCGTGCGTCAGACCGCCTGTCGCCACCTAACCCACGATCTGATCGGTCTGTGACCGGTCACAGACCGGATAAACGAGCGCGCTGCACTGCGTTACATGCGGCGTGACGCGCTCGTCCAAACCGCAATAAATGTGGTTAGGTGAGCCCCGCTATGCTCACCTACCCCATATACGCGGCGCAAAACCCACAAGGGGTCGGGGCGCCTCGGCCCTCGGGGCCGAGACGGGAGCGGTCCGACCCCTCGGGGAGACAAAGAGAAGGGCGGCCGTATCACCCTCGGGCCCGACCCCCCCGAGGGGGTTAGGCCACGTGGGTGATCGTGTCTGCCTCAAGTCTCTAAGTCATGATACTCCCGGTCCCATGTCACCGACAGTAGCCCCCGGCGTTATGCTAGGGCGATCGCCCTCCTCGAGGGAAGCGGTCGGGCGTGACGCCACTTCCTAAGGCCTAGTGACAGGTGGGGCCGGTCTAAAAATCGGGACAAGCCGGTTCGTTTTTCCTGGAGATATGGTGATGGCGCTTCGGTCGGCGAGCGTAATTAACGCGCGCACGAGATGTTCCATCTCGACTGCCACAGCCGCATGCCGCTGCCCGAGAACGGCGGGCGGCGGAGACCGAGGTGGCATCCCGGCGGCGCGAAGAAACCCTTGAGGCCCGTGCCATGGCGCTGGAAGAGCGTGCCTGCGTCGTGGAGAGGGACCTGGCGGACCGCGAGGCCGCCGTTGCCATCCGGGAGGCAACGCTGGCGGCGCATGAGGCCGCCTGCGCCGAAGAGGAGTCCGCGCTCCGCCTCCGCGAGGACGCGCTCACCAAGCGGGAGCGAGCTCTCGAGGAGGCCGAGGCCGCGGCGCAACGGCTGGCGGACAGCCTGTTCCTCCGTGAGGCAGCGCGGGAGGAGCAGGCGCGCCGTAATCTGGAAGGTGCCCGCGCCGAGAGGGCCGCGCTGAACCAGCGGGCCGCTGAGCTCGAGGCGCGGGAGAAGGGGCTGGACGCGAGGGCGCGCAGCGGCGGGGCGGCCGCGGGCGAAAGCGACTTAACCGTCCGCCTCGCAGTTGCCGAACACACCATCGCCGATCTGCAGGGCGCGCTAGACTCGTCCGCCGGGGAGGTCGAGGCCCTCCGCTTGGCAGGCGAGGTAGGGCCCGGCATGCTTCGGGACGCCGTCTCCCGTCTAGACCGCGCCGGCCGGCAGGCGGGCCTCTGGGGCGGGCGGACTACGAAGTACGCCGCCAACCAGGGGGGCCTCGCCCAGCGCCTCTCGGAGATGGCCGGGACTCTCCAGCGGCTCCCCGAGGAGCTCGAGGGGACGATTAAGTCATCCTCAAGGGACCTCGCCCGAGGAGCGGTGGAGCTCGTACTGGCGAGTTACCAGGCCAGGGACCCCGACTTCTCCCCATGGACGGCGCTGGACGAGTTCCCTCCCGGGACCGAGGACGGCGCGCGCGCGCAGGTCCGGGATGCCGCCGACCATATCGTCCACAGCTTCGAGGGTTCGGCCCCTCGGCTCGCGTTCGCCCTCAACTCCGACGAGGAGGACGATGACGGCGGAGTGGGCGACAGTGGCGACGAGGCTGGCGACCCGGGTGCATCGGAGTGAGCCCCCAGGCCCCCGCCAATCTTTAAATAGTTTCTTCTTTTCTTCTTCCGAGGCCTTCGGGCCCCCTTCTTGTATAGACTAATTTAATCTGCAATCAAATAAAGAGGAAATTTTTTGTGTCAATTCTATTTGTTGTGTGTATGAGACGAGGATGTCTGTGCCGCGGTCCTTTTGTGTCTTGGCTTGAACAAGGGCTCGTGCCCAGGTCCTAGTCCTCAAATGGCTCGGGTCGGGGCTAGTGCCTGGGGAGATCCACATGTCGAGACTGGCCAGGCCGGGAGCGTGGTGACCGAGGGTTATGGGTGACCCGATTGTGGGTTTTTGCCGATTCCCCCCCGGAGTTCACTACGCCCCGGGGCACGGCTCGGTTCTGGGCCCCGTTTGGCGATTTTAGCCGACCCGAGCCCCCGAGGGCAGGATTGAACACGAGTGACCTATTTCAAGTCAAGATCCTTCAAAAGGAAACAACAGCACAGATACAGCCTTTAGGAAATCGAAAATGCTTTTATTGAAATACAGATATAAAAGAAATAAGAATATGCATATGTGGTAGCCCCCGGCCAACCCTGCACGCCCGAGGGGGGTGCGGGGTTGGCCCGAGCCCGAAACCTGACACCCGATCCCCCTTTAGGGGTAGAAGCGACGAAGGTGTTCGATGTTCCACGGGTTAGGCAGCTCTGTGCCGTCGCCCGTGGCCAGCCGAACGGAGCCCGGCCAGGGGACGCCGATCACTCGATATGGACCCTCCCACATTGGTGAGATCTTGCTCAATCCAGCACGCGTTTGGACGCGGCGTAGGACGAGGTCGTCGACGCAGAGTGATCGGGCCCGGACGTGGCGCTGATGGTAGCGCCGCAGGCTCTGCTGGTAGCGCGCGGCTCGGAGGGCCGCGCGCCGCCTTCGCTCTTCCAAGTAGTCGAGGTCATCTCTGCGAAGCTGATCTTGATCAGCCTCGCAGTACATGGTGGCCCGAGGGGACCTCAGGGTGAGCTCGGATGGGAGAACCGCTTCCGCGCCGTAGACGAGGAAGAAAGGCGTTTCCCCGGTTGCTCGGCTTGGCGTGGTTCGGTTCGCCCAGAGCACCGCTGGCAACTCCTCGATCCACGAATCGCCGTGCTTCTTGAGGATGTTGAAGGTCTTGGTTTTAAGGCCTCTGAGGATTTCCGCATTGGCGCGCTCCACTTGGCCGTTGCTTCTGGGGTGGGCAGGTGAGGCGAAGCAGAGCTTGATGCCCATGTCTTCGCAGTAATCGCCGAAAAGTTCACTAGTGAATTGGGTGCCGTTATCCGTAATAATACAGTTAGGCACTCCAAACCGGGCTGTGATGCCCTTAATGAATTTAAGTGCGGAGTGCTTATCGATCTTGACGACCGGATAAGCCTCGGGCCACTTAGTGAACTTGTCGATCGCGACATACAGATACTCAAACCCGCCCGGGGCCCGCCTAAACGGTCCCAGGATATCGAGCCTCCAGACAGCAAATGGCCATGAAAGTGGTATGATCTGCAGGGCCTGGGCCGGCTGATGGATTTGCTTGGCGTGGAATTGACACGCTCTGCATCGCCGGACCAGGTCGACCGCATCATTGAGAGCTGTCGGCCAATAGAAACCTTGTTGAAAGGCTTTGCCAACCAAGGTGCGCGAGGCGGAGTGGGCTCCGCATTCGCCTTCATGGATATCGGCAAGAAGCTCGACGCCTTGTTCCCGAGGAATGCACTTCAGGAGGATTCCGTTAGCCGCGCGCCGATAGAGGGTCCCTTCTACCAGCACGTAGCGTTTGGAGATGCGCTGGACGCGTTCACTCCCTTCGCGGTCCTCGGGTAGAGTCTTATCTGTGAGGTATGCTTGTATCTCAGCGATCCAAGCAATCAATCTAAGGGAGCTGGGAGCGCTCCCCTCGGGTCCCGAGGCCTGGACTCCGACGGGC